CAAACTGCGCGTGCGCGGCACGCTGGGCCAGCCAGCGCTTTCACGGAACGAGCCGCTAACCCGCTTATTTCATCCATAGAGTTTGCTAAAATTAACTAGAGGGGACTCTGGCTCTGCCATCTTGATGATTGATATGTGGGGTTTAACGACCCAAAACCACCATATGATTATGAGAGACGCCGTAGTGGAGGGCTCCGGAAATTTTGACCACCTGGGGTTCTTTAACGTGCACCCAAATCAGAGCACAAGGGCCTACAACATTTCCGCCTCCATCGGAAATGCAGCCGCCGCAGCCGGGATTCAATCCCGCTCTGCCATCTTTCAGCGACCATGGGAAGGATAGGTAGTACGCGGGTTTGCCTATAGTGTTCGTACTTGCGGGTCGAATCGCACTTGTGGCTTCATTTATAGTTGTGTTTCGGTTTTGTTTCGAAGGAAAAGACGAACCCTTTTGAAATTCATGACACGATTTGAAATGGTCAGCCTAAAAGGATAAGGTGTTTATTTGCAACCGCTTAACATTTGATGATTTTTGTTTCGTGAGGAAACAGCTCGAAGCCATATATGAACACACACGGAGCAGCCAGAAGTACGAAGATTAGACCAATCTATGTACTTCCCATCATTCCCATGCTCGCTGAAGCACCATGCGTTGCAGCTCCAATAGACACTAACGGCAGAGTTACCTCTAGAGTATATTTAGGAAACTCCGTGGTTTCGTCACTACAGCGGAGCGCGCGCAGCGGACCAGTCGAGCGTTCTGCCGGCAAAGACTCTGCTCGATCGACAGTAGCTTCAACCACGTTAAATAGGTAGCGCAGCAATGCGCTCCGCTGTCTCCGTTGAAACAAGCGGAACATTCGGTCAGCTATTATTATTCCGTTTGTCTTGCGCTTCACTCGTCCCTCCACTCATTCGCAGGGCTCGATGATCCGCTCAGCCGCTCAGCTAGTACGCGCTAATAACCCACTCATTCTTTGTATATTCAGGGGATGTTCAGGGGCCCTTCATACTAAGTCACATTCGGTCCCAGGATTTCAGTTTTAGTATTGTTATTTGAAATCTGCATATGCTCCGGGCTCACTTGCTCATAATGCTTGAAGCAACCTGCTGTCTAAGACTGCATCCCTCAACTAGAACTTCGACCTCCATCCAGACTTCGCCGACGTGAAGCTTCGCTTCTTTGTCTGCTGTTCGTGGATGACCTTCCTAAGAGCATACACAAGCCTCACTGGAGTGACTGACAGTGCGGAATGCGAGGTCTGTGGCACCGAAGACATCGACCATTTGCTAAGGCGTTGCCCTCGATTTGCCTCCGAGAGCCTAAAACTTTCTAACGCGTTGCGACAAATGGACGATCGGCCACTCTCTGTGCAGATGCTACTAATTCGCCTCTCCTGAAATGCGACTGCCGCGGCCGGCATAGAAACCGCGACCTTCGGGTCGGCAGCCGAGCACCTTAGCCACTGATCCACCGTGGCAGGCTCAGGTTGGCATTCTAGCACTGACTGTTCCGACAAGCGTCTGTCATCAAGGCGGGGCAACACAGCAGCCGGTGACAGTTGTCTGGGCGCCCTGGAGGAAGGGCAGCACAAAGAACATGGTCCGTCGTTTCTTCATTGCCGCAGTGGTTGCAAGAACCGCTATCTTCCACACCGATTTCAAAGGCAAACGTTGTGGAGAAAAAGCGACACCAAGTTACAGTCAGCAAAGCACCATCGCCTCGAGCCGAGGCAGTCTGGAAGGAGGCCGAAGTCCACACAACAGGTCTAATCGGTAAAGCCGTGATTAGCTTGATGTTTCCAACACCGGAAGTCAAATAAAGCCTTAGAGAATTATTTACTTGGTAGTAGCTTACTTGATAGGCCCTCGTTATCCCGCTCTGAAACTTTTGTTTGTTCGCGCACCTATACTTTTCTCTCCACTTTCCTGTCCATATTTCTCTCCCATTTCCTATTCACTTATTATAGGTTAGTAAACCAGATGCTACGTTTCTGGTTGACCTCCCTGCCTTTCTTTCAATTAATTAGCTCTCCCTCTCTGTCTATGTTAAGCAGTATGCTGGTAGTTCACTGCAAGTCATTTTTCACGTAGGTACTTCCTTTGACGCTGCCAGCAGCAGACTTCATAGCAATGAGTATTTCTATTAGACAACGTCTTCTGGGAAACAAGCGTGTTGTAGCCGATTACTTCACTATGTTACAATTATGGCAGATAACTTAAATGCAGCCCCTGTATATCTTATTGCATACTCCTAGAGATATTCGATGGACTCCTGGAGCGCACCTCCTAGAACACAATACGTTATCGAGAGCCATCGTTCGGAAGGAAGTCAATAGAGCAGTGAATTCGTGGACTTCAGTATGCAAGAAGTCCTTTTTTTAACGCTATGCCTAACTCTTACGAGCGTCAAAATTTTAAGTTGTTTTTCAACTAATTATTTTTTTTCAGTCGTTTCCTCGTTCATTCTCAAGTCAAGAAATACTTTCATGCAATATCCAGCAAAGTTTTAGGGCGGTTGAATTCAACGAGCCGCAAATTCAAATGAACGAAACAAACAGCGGTGGTCTTTTTTTTTTCACTGAGAATTCGAACTGAGTGCCGTAGCTCATCTTCGAGAACAATGGCACTTTACGCTCGAATGAATTTATAAACATCACAACTCCTCATAGATCGTGCAAAGAGCAAATATTATCGCCATTATCTACCACCTATAAATGCACATTCAATCGTAGATATCTGAAAAATGAAGAATAAACTACAACCTCTTTTATTGGGGCAGTATTAAGTCACAGTCAGCTGCGAATGAAAGTGAAAGCACACTGAGCCCCGCCCCCTCTCCGGAATGGTTATAATCGCCATCTGTAAGCCTGTTTAGTACAACGCTTGCACCCTTCGTTGGTGCGCGTCCCATTTCCGCAAACCTTGACAGTCCGATGGGCAGGCCTGTTATTTGCTGACGATATCAGCGTCAAGCTAATACAAATTGCATTGCACACAGACGCGACTCCAAAACCAGGCCAAAGGACACTCAGGAATCCTCAGCTTTCTAATCTATGCCTCCTTATCAGCGTTTCGGACTTACACAACATGCGTTTGCCGGCTGCTGGAGAAGGAAATACCGTGCATTCTGCAAACCGAGTGAGCTGCTCCAACCCCTCCAGACCCTACACCCTACCCCTTCACGCTGTCTACTTTGCGTGTCGGTAATCTCATCTTTTTAATTGTTCTCCGGGCATTGTGTGCTTATCGCTACCGGCGAGTCGCTCTCTACGTTGCGTATTACTTTCATGCGTTTAGTACTAGTCCGTACGCCAACGGGAACTAGCTGACATTCAGTTGAGCGAACATTATTGATCTTGTTGACATAGCCGAACAACGTGCAATACAATTGAACTTATGTGCTTGAAGCGCACGCCACGCCATAATGTACGTAGAGAGCATTGCGTTTATTATTTCATGCAGGACTGAAGATCAGGTCGCTCGGTTATAAATGAGGAGTAGTTGCCAGGTATGCTGTGGAAGGGCCCATGGTAGTGATTAGTCGAAACAGCCCTCTCGGTTACCCTGCTTCTGGTGTACTGCAGAACAACAAACAAGCTTGGTTTTCGATGGTCGGGTAAGCAACACCGACACGTATGAATATCGACCGACGTGGACCGAAACGGCTGGTCGCTAAAATTTTCTGTCGACTCAGGGCTATTGGATCTGAATGCTAATATTTCCTGCCACACAATCATCCATAAACTGTAATCACTATCATTTAAGCTATAACTCGGATTCCAATCAAGTATCATAATTACCCGCGTTTATATGGTCAGTTTGCTGATACGTATTATTTCGGTCCAAGTGGTGGGGCATGTTTGGCGCGAGCTTTATTTCCGCCCATCGGGCTATAGCTATCATGTGCGACGCAACACTTGGACTGCAGTATTCATACCGTTTCGGAGACCCGGAAACACTGGCATATTTCAGCGTCGTTGCTTTTAAAGCATAAAGTACCAGAAGTTCTTGAGCTGTCATGGCCGCGAACCATCATAAATCATGCAGGAAATGTCCTGTGCGTATTCCTCTGTCTGTATGACAGAAAATAGGGCGCATATATACATTCAGAGAACGCATATGCCATAATAGTTGTTAAAAGAAGTTTTAAGCTAATCCCTATGCAGGGTGGACATAAATCGAAGACGGTCAGCCAGTGCCACAGCTCAATTACGGTGGAAAATTATATTCCTTGCGCCCCTAGGTGGATGACAAAGTTATTCTTGTTGCACTATACATTAAATTGTGTGCTTGCACTCTTATCATATACAGGGAACAGTGACTCTTTTTAGTTAGGCTTTTGATCTACCTTGCGTGTCTGTATTCGCACTCACATAGTACTTTTTGAAAAGTTATCCGCAACTCCTTGAGATTTTTCACAGCGTATAAGATATAACTGACGCCATTTTTGCAAAATAATAGCGTGGGCTGTGAGACAAATATAGCAGCGATTGAAAATCGCCACCAATGTTGTTAACTCATTTCTCGCAGTTGCGCGCCGTTTGAGCATAGTTGGCACTTGTAGTGAAACCTGACACCGAACACGAATTTACATCACTGTCGTGCAGCGAGCCTCAAATGTCAGACGCGTCATTTGAGCTCGTGTTGCAACGTACCCGAGTAGCATATGCAACCAGACGCTCTGTCATCTCCTCCACCTCTTGAAGAAAAATTTTTTTGTTTCCCTCTCTAAAGCTCGTAGATGGCACACGCGTCCTCTGAGAAATTGCACAAGGGCGTTCCGAAATTAGCGCCCGCTGTCCGAGCCAAGCGGTCGGTACCGCCGAGTCAGGCGGGAAAGACGAACGCCAAGCTCAGCCGCGGGGAATATCATAGCGGTCAAAGAAGCAGGCTCGGGCTGACATATAGTACCGCAGCCCGGGAAATTAGTCGGGCAGTGCAAACAGCAGAGAACAGTTTGCCCAAACAGACCAGAAAGGAAACATAATCTCACTTACCCGTTGAACGGAGAGTGGGTATCCAAAGTCCTTGCCGCCAGCGAGCCGGAAGCCCCAGGAGGTGCCTTCTCCACGCTGAAGCTTCACCGTTATCACCGTGTCAACCATGGTGCCCGTTTTACCTCTGCGTATTCAGTAGTAGCGGTAGTAGTAGAAGTAACCTCGTCAAGGGGGCCGCTTGTCGTTGTCCACTTGGCAGAGTCGGTAAGGTCGTAGTACGCCGGTGAAAAAAGTCCCGGTGCACGTATTACTGTTTCTTCCTTACTTTAAACGCCGCGCGCACTTGTTCCCTCGTTCGATCACCGGACCCCCCGCCTGGGCTCGGAGGAGAGAGAGCGCGGAAAGAAAGTTAGTCCAGAAGCGACTGGAAACCGGCAGCAAAGAGTTGGTGGTCGCGCCGTGACTCGAGCGGCATCAAAATCGATTGTGCCCGGTCGCCGAGATGAAAAGTTTTGTTTCCCAGTCGCTCCTCTCTTTTTGTGCGTGCGGCTCCTTTCGCGGAGGGGGGAGGCTTCTCGTCGGAGGAGAGAGCGCGGCCGCCTGCGGACTGGATTCAATCCCGCGCTGAGCTGAACGGGGCGGCTTCGCTGCCGGACGGTCGGCGCGCTCGAGGCGCGAGGGGCGACGGCGTCCCGTGTGCAAAAGCCACTGACGTCAAGCTTTCCTGCGCGCCTTGTCTCCGCTTAAGAGTGCGCCGCTGCTGCGAGAAGGGGGGCAAACACGGACCGTGAGTGCGCCCGGCACCGGCCTGCCTGCTCTCATAAACGCATGCACATGCACGGGCCCCCCTCAGCGACCAACGATATACCCGGCAGAAAAACCAGGAGTGGCACACTCAACGCTGACCTCACTGTCGTACTTGTCAGGACTACGGAAGAACGCATCAGAAACCAGGCAACGACAGATTGAGCCCATCGGTTATCTATCAGCTGATTCCGTTATCAGCAAAATCTGCCGCGAGACTTCACCCGCAGGAATATGTACGCTCACCTATTTTGTTTGAGCAGATTCAACGTGCAACATATGTACAATAAAATTCTCTCTTTATATAAAAAATATACATTGTTTATGTCGGTCAACAATAGTGTTGTTACCAACCAACAACAGATATCTCACCCAACTAGCCATAACTTAATTTGTGGCAAAAACTGATTTCAGTTCTGAATGTACTTTGATGAACATTTATTTTCAATGTCTTATTGAAAAACTTCGTCATTAAACTTGACTAAAACTGGCAAAACTGGCAATGACAAAAACTGGCAGTAAACGTTATATAACTCGTTGTTAATTAGGCACTTTAGCTTTGTATTAGCTGCGGCTAAGTATTTTCACCTTAACATAGAGGTCATAGGCGAAAGTGACAGAAACGTAACTTTCATATGATTTTTTTCAATCTGTAGGGTTTAAGAAAACTATAAAAAATACGTCTGGGAAAGTTTACTTTCTTATCTGTGTTGGTTTTACTCTCTTCCAGCGATCAATTTTAAGTTATCACAAAAATATTTTAGATAAAATACATTTATTATAATAAAATGCGGTTCACCCAGCATACTGTGTGTATGAATATAGGTGTAAGTAGCCATGCTTCGCTGAACAGATCACAAACAAGAAGACAACGTCCTTTGCGCGAGACAGCCAAGCATCTACTTATGCTCTGAATGGTATCACTGGCTAAATAAGAAGTATGCACCTCTATTTAGAAACATCGACTAATTCGTTTGTACACTCGAGATCGGTGCTATGTATATGAATGCCCTTACGTGAGTGGTGCTGCGGCGCACATGTCCTGATTACGTATATTTATTGAATACTAAAAATACCACATCACTTATAATGAACATGACGGGGTGAGAAAATAAACTATAATAATAATTGTCAAGATTTAACGTTCCAAACCACCATACGATCATCAGAGATGCCGTTGTGGAGAACTCTGGAAATTTTGTCTACCTGTACTTTTTTATCGTGCAACTAAATCTAAGCTCGTGGGCCTAAAGATTTTTCACCTCCATCGAAAATGCGGTCACCACTGCCGAGATTCGTTCCCGCAACCAGCCAGTCAGCAGTCGAGTGCCATACCCACGAAAACACCGAGACTGGGTGAGGGAGAAATATAGATAAGCAAGGAAGGCAGGGGAATTAACCACATGAACACTCGGTTTGCTACTCTATATATAAACTATTTTACGGAAGGGCTTCAGTGCCGCCATATTGAGTGATTAATCTTTGTGTTTGGCATCTTGAAGAACTTAACGAACAGTGTTACTGAATACGCATACGGAAGAAAATGATTAGGTTGGTGCACACGTTATTTCATGTCCTTAATAATTCCTGTCGCCATATACAAAGACAAGAAGACACCAGCTTAAGAGTTCAAGATGGCGGCGCCCACATGCGTTATAGGTAAAGTAGTCTTTACAGTGATGGAAGGAGCTAAAGGGGCGAAAGATAAGATAGTAGGCGAGAGCAAAATTGTGATTGTGCCCACAAAATGTTTATCGTGTAATGCTTTATAGAAAAGCCATTTTATGTGAAATCAATAGGAAAAGCCTGTTAGCGCAAATAGAAAAAGAGAGAAAGAGACAAGATTGTATTCGTGAATGAAATAACTTTTGTAGTGATACCAAAATTCGGCTGTCGTAGAATAACATGTCTTCCGTTTTACAGGAGGCTCTATGCTCTGAATAGATGCTTCATTAGAGAGAGAGAAAACCTTTAGTAGAAAAAACATATTTTTGCCGGTGTCGCTCGCTGCTTCACTAAAAATATATGGGGCTCACACAATCCCATACTTCTCGCGACTGTTTATAAGAGTGTACTTTTTATATCCTGTTCCATACATGGTCAATAAAAGCTGTTGTTCCAAGTAGCTACCTTACCTTCAAATTAACTGAGAAAATTAATTTATGCACGTAATCTTTATTTTCAATTATTGCTTGCACTGTTGGGTGCCAGCAGTTTCATCTGACCCTTGTAGTGTGTTTCGCCCTTGCTTCATCAGTAAAGTGGCAGACCGACGACGGCCGCGCACGTGCGCCTTTGTGGTGTGGCCCGAGGGCCTCCACTCATTAACGAAGACATACGGCCCTATATTGCAAAGGAAGCCGCTGGGCACTCGTGACATGGTCAGCAGTTAAATTAACCTAATTAACGCCAAAGAGAAAAAACTTCGCTCAGAGGCTTTAGACGTTCCTTGTTACTATACCTCCATCGACCTTGAGAATTCTGTTTTGGGGCTGCATAGTTAACTGTTCCGTATAAGTGTGGACTACGGGGACAGGTACCTCAGCTAAAGGCTGGCCGCTGCTGGCAGTTGTTGTGGGGCTGATAAAGTGTTATCCTACATTTTCCTAGTAGCGCAACGCAGCTTGACAAACCACTTTGTTGTCCCGACAGTTGTCGTTTCTATCCGGGGACCAGCGGCAAAATCAGCAATCTCTATGAGGCCTGCAAAGTGCCTACACACACGGGACCTTATTCGTGTGGTCTTTAGTTGCGAAGGCAACTCGTGGATGCAGCGCGCGTGTCGACAGCAACGACAGGTTCTTTTGACGTGCGAAAGAGTACTGCTTATTATTGTCACAATGACACGAGATACTAAACGCACGTGATGAACATTGAATGGAGTTCCGACAAAGTATATCATACGTGGTAGAAAGCGTACGGCCAGGCACCTCGACATTCAAAAGTAACTAGTAAGTCACCGCTGTTTACTTTAGATAGGTTACACTGCGTGCTTGAATCTTGCTCTCCAGAACCTGCAAGTGATTGCCCAACAGAAAATATGTGGTGGTGAGATCAATTATCAATCAAGAAAATCAATACTAGATTGTGCACTTACATACAGACCACTCAGAGGCTCCCGAATATCAAACGTCGGGCTGAATTTTGAATTGTGAATCTGGATTTCATTCTCGCCATATCTCTATTGGCAGTGTTTTCTATCCGTCTTTTAAAGCAAAACATGTCTTTCCGTCACGGCTAAGCAACTACGCAATGCCCTTGTCTTATGCTCCGTAATGTACAAGGAAGGGAGGGGGGGTGTCAAACGTTTTTATGTCCCTATCCCATGTATTTCTATCAAAGCGTGACTTGCGAGCGTTTGACCAACACTGTACGTATATTGTATAATGCCCACAAAAGCGTCAGTACTTTATACGCTATTCCATTCTAAACGCCGTTCACGTGGCAACCTGCAGCGTCGAAGCGTCTTGAGCTTTGCGTCTGTGCCCACGCGTAACATATACGACAGTTATGCATGCACCATGGGGGTGCATGCGAGTGAAACATGATCTAAGGAGAATAAAAAAAACACCAAACAAAGAAGCGGTAAGTCCCATCGCGGCGACCTGAAACTGTAGCGGTGGGGGAAAACATCGAGAAAGACGTGGTGCGCCGTGCGCTCGTTTTCCTCCACCAACGAGCCATGTGTTGCCCCGCGTTCTCCGACGATGACAGCAATCAGGTAATGAGGTAAAAACAACGTCGACCCTCTCCTCCTTCTTGGAAGTCCCGCGGCGGCTTGCGGAAGAAAGGAAAGTGGAAGCCCCAGCGATACAGGAAATCGAGGCCCGTGAGGACTGTACGGGCTGAGATCGAAAGTGATTTGGAGAAGCCGGAGAATAAGCAATGGTCTCTCGCGATGGGGTCGCGTCGCGCCGGCATCGATAGGAACCTAGCCGCGTTGTTAATATGTCTCCCGCGAACGGTGGCGTTTTCTTGTTGTTTTCTTGCTCTTGTTGCGAATGTTTCTTTTTTCTTTTTAAATTTGATACCCCACCCTTCCGCTCTGTCCCACTTGTATTGAGCCCACCTAATGTTTACGAATGATATGACTCTGTACTTAAATAAAAACAAGAAAGAAAACGAAACACAACAAATACACAGGGAACCAATGGGTCCTTCATAATGCATGGTCGTTGTTTAGGAGTTTGCATTAAAGGCTACTGGTGGATGAGGGTGGAGGGTGAGAAAGAAGTGTAGAGCACGCAGAATGAAGAAGTATACTTACTCACCATCTGTAGGCCAGGTCATATAGGATGCCTGCTGGGCGATATATATTTTTTATTCTGAGATAAACGAGACGCTCAGTCATCGAGGACGTTCGTTGCCCCACTGGCCGTGCACGGCCTCTCACGAATTCCCGGCAGATAACGGAACCTGGCCTCTTGACAGATTTCAGGACGACATAGCAGGCACGTCCGTTATTGCGGTGTCGTGCGATATTAGAAAGCGCTTGCCTTGCTTAATAGGTCACGTGTTTTCGGAGTGGAAATGGGCTGTAATCAGTATTTCAGGAGTGCTATTTTTTATAGAGGTCGGCTGTTAAAAGTAAACTGCCCTGCCTTCTTACCATTCTATGTAAGCGGACCCGCTACGAAGTTGTCATGGTGATTATATACGCCGCCTGGAGATCGAAGGCTTTTTTTATTTAGAGGCACACGCTTTTTCCCAAGTCAATGCCTTTGACTGTCACACGAGGACATGGGCTTACCAGGAGCATTTTTTTTTTTGGGGGGGGGGGGGGGGGGGGGTGCATGTTACGGAACTGTTGTTTTCCCCTAAATACAAATGCAATTTGTCTGTACACACGCGTCAACATCGCAAAATGAAATAAAATGTACGCGTTTGTGTTTATCAATTGGAACAAAAAACACCAATT